GTAAGCCACGGTTATGTCAGACGCTGTGTTACTGCCAGATTAAAACAATACCGATTAATATATTAGGTGAATACATTTTAAAGCCTCCCCCTTTGTATCATAAAATGCTCTTGTGCACTTGATCTTAACCTTGTGCCTCATCTTCTTTCAAAACACATTCCGGGGGGAGTTCATAATAAATGACACAAATAATACAGAATTGTTCCAGCCGTGGTAACAGGATAAGCTCAAAGTAAGGTGAGAGAAAGATAGTTATTCTATAAAACCTAAGTGAAGGAGAGCTACTGATGTTAAATCTAAAATTTACCTCTGAGTTTCTGGTACCAAACTCTTATTGTCTAATGACCGAAAGCATCCCAGTTTATCAATTTCTTCCTAGCAGAGTCCTAAAAAAAGGTATCAAGTTAATCTAACAAAAGGATTTCAAAACCTGTGACTGTCTTTAAAACCCATTTTGCAAAGATGCAACAATTTTATCATGTATTATCTAACACCAAATCCCGGAAAAGGGCAAAATTCAAAATATTAAACTACAATCCAGTCTGGCCTCTTTCCAAAAGAGTATCATCTCAAATTGTCTGCTGCTGTCTTCCGTGGTTTTTGTTTGTTTATTTGTTTGTTTTGAGGTGTTTTTGTTTTTGTTTTGCCAAAACAGTTGAGAGGAACTATCTAAAAGGGAAGAGTTGGAAAGACATGAAGTCCCTCCTTTGCTTTTCACGGTCTATGTTTTCTCCTAGATAAAGCCAGATCAAGAAGGGAGGTCTCAGATTGGAACACGTTGTCTTAAGCTTCCATAATTGCCTTCACCATGCGTGGCTTTATTCATTTGGAATATACTGAAGGACATTCTAATAATCTCATACTGAATCAATGAATACATTTATTGCCCAGAAGTGATGAGGACATCAGCCGTCCCAGCCATGGCAATTCTCCCTGTGAAAAATCAGGCAGAATCTTTTTATTAATACCCAAGTGTCAGGAAAAGCTTTTTTTTTTTTTTTAATTTTTTTTTTTAAACATTTATTTATTTTTGAGACAGAGAGAGAGCATGAACAGGGGAGGGTCAGGAGAGGAGACACAGAATCTGGAAACAGGCTCAGGCTCTGAGTCATACAGAGCCCGACGCCGGGGCTCAAACTCACAGACCGTGAGACCATGACCTGAGCCGAAGTCGGCCGCTTAACCGACTGAGCCACCCAGGCACCCCATGAAAAGTACAAGCTTTTCATGTACTTGTTCATTTGTTTGTTTTCCTGAAGAAATGGTGTGCTTTCTTCTTGTGGACAACCTAGATCACGAAGCCAGTCCGATTTCTTTTTTCTTCGGTGTCCAGGAAATTTAGAAGCAAATTTGCATCCCAGCCCTATTTTGATGTCCATCACCTCTGTGTACTATTTACTTAACCTCCAATTTTATACATGATTTAAATAAATTACATGATTTAAATTATATATTACATATAAAAGATATAAAGATATATCATTACATATAATATATAAACATATGGGGAATATGTATATAGAGAGAGATAGATTTTTATCTCCCCCATCTATATTTTCCGGATATAATTTGTTTATGTTGTTTCTCCCCCATCTATATTTTCCCTGGATATGATTTGTTTTATTTTGTTTTTGTTGTCTTGCTCATTTGAAGATGATGCAAGGTGGAGTTTTAGAAGTGTGGTGGGGAGGGGCGCCTGGGTGGCTCAGTGGGTTAGGCGTCGACTTCAGCTCAGGTCACGATCTCATGATTGTCCGTAATTCCCCAGCGTCGGCTCTGCTGATGGCTCAGAGCCTGGAGCCTGCTTCGATTCTGTGTCTTTCTCTCTCTGCCCCTCCCCCGTTCATGCTGTCTCTCTCTGTCCCAAAAATAAATAAACGTTAAAAAAAAAATTTTTTTTTAATTAAAAAAAAAAAGAAGTGTAGGTGGGGAATTGTTGAAGAATGTTCAAGAAGGTTGACCCTTCAAAACAATGTTGTTGTTGTTTTTTTTTTCAACGTTTATTTATTTTTGGGACAGAGAGAGCAAACATGAACGGGAGGGCAGAGAGAGACACAGAATGGAAACAGGCTCTAAGGCATCAGCAGAGCCTGATGCGTCGGGGCACCGAACTCCGCGGACATGAGATCGTGACCTGGCTGAAGTCGGACGCTTAACCGACTGCGCCACCCAGGCGCCCCAAAACAATGTTTTTTAACTGAGGTATAGTTGACATAGTTACTCATTTCAGGAGTACAAAGCGATCTGACAAGTTTATTGTCACATGGGCTCACAAGGGTAGCCATCACCTTCATGCTGAGAGTGCAGAGCCTTCTTGGGATTCTCTTCCTTGCTCTCTGCCCCTCCCCTGTTCATGCGCGCTCTCTCTCTCTCTCTCTCTCTCTCTCTCTCAAAATAAATAAACTTAAAAAAATAATTAAATATCAACAGTCAAGTCTGTGGTTTTCTGGTTGTCTGGTAACAAAGAGTTAGAACTAGAGAACCAAGGTGCAGTTGGTTAGCATTTACTTCTCACATATTGATAATGGAGCTTTGGGCCAGGTTGAAGTAGCTGTCACTTTGTGACCAGTGTCATTTGCAAATACCAGATAACTGAACAATGATGACTAGTGCTATAAATAGTCAACTGTGCCTGGTGCAATTCCAAATAGCCTTCATGTGTCATCTCATCTTCTTCTCACAGCAGCCCCCCGAGGAGGTCAGTATTATTATTATTATGACTGTTACCAATGAGAAATCGGGGAGCAGGGAGTCCCTGTGGTTCCCTGGAAGGATATCCATGGGTTATTTAGAGACCAGCTAGGTAAATGGCAAGAAAAGTTTTGAAAGTTTGTATGCTTTTAACCTCTTCCTATTTCCTCCACCCCCAGACCCTGGGAACCACTTTTCTACTTTCTGTTTCTGTGAATTTGGTTTTTCACTGAAGTCCACATGTAAGTGATACGATGCAGTATTTGTCTTTACTTGATTTATTTCACTTAGCATAATGCCCTCAAGGTTCATCCATGTTGTCACAAATGGCAAGATTTTTTTTCTTTCTCATGGTTGGATAATATTCCTGTGTGTGTGTGTGTGTGTGTGTGTGTGTGTGTGTGTGTGTGTATCTCACATGTTTATTCATCTGTTGATAGACACCTGGGTTTTTCCGTATCTTGGCTATTGTGAATAATGCTGCAATAAACATGGGAGTGGAGATATTTCTTTGAGAAAGTGATTTTATCTCCTTTGGATATATACCCAGAACTGGGATTGCTGGATCATAGGGTAGTTCTATTTTTAATATTTTGAGGAACCTCCATATTGTTTTCCATAGTGGCTGCCCCAGGTTGGGAAGCATCTTTGACTCTGCTCAGATGCTCATTGGTACTGGGTGAAAACCCTAACTTCTGCACCCTCGGCACAGGAGAGATCACCTTGGTCTGGAAGAACTTTGGGGACAAGAGGTAACAGTCATCCCCTTCTACTATGACAGCTTCTCTTCTAATTGCCTGTTCAGTTTTGGCTGTAAGCAGGGCTGTGGACTGACCAACGCTGCTGATTTAATCCCAAAACCCACCCTTAAAATCGGTGCAAACCAGAGAAGTCGCACGGCCTCTGATCTCATCAACCTTCAGCTCCTTGGTATGTGACGCCTGAACCACGTCTGTGCAGAAAGTTCCCAGGTTCTCCAGAGTAACCTTTAATTCAGAGTCTTTGGGAAAATCCTATCGTCTGTGATCTGTGAGGTGCTGCCACTTTGTGAAATTTCTGCACGTACACAGTTGCCTCTTTCGCTGCTGCACATGGCCTGACAGCTCCTGAGAACATTGTCCAGAGTCACCCAGCTAGACAAGCCATGCAGAAAACCTACAAAGTGTGGGCACAGATTCAAGAAATAAGAGCGGGGCCTCGTAGACTCGAGCCAGGAGCTGTAACTTCAAACAGAATTATCTTAATTAGCCAGCGTGGAAAAACAGCGAAAATGTTTGCATTTCACACGCAGCAAGGCTCTTGCCAGCAGCGTGTGCTCTCAGTTCCTAGCCCATCTTTCAGGGGCAAGGAGGCTCCCTGGACCTTGCAAACCTGTAGCCAGTAGGTTCTAGCTGTAGCTCCCCGCCCCGCTCCCCGCCTTGTGCTTCCCCCTCCTTAGCTCCCCGGGGTGTCATTCAGTGAATCTCCCTTTTTGTTGTTGCAAGACAGGTGAGTCCCCTCCCTTTCCCAATAAGGAAATAAATATCCATGGGCAAAGGACCTGGTTGGACAGGAAATAATACCATTTATCCCATTCTTTCGTGGCCAAGTTGTATATTTTAAAATAAATATTTGTGGTTGTCAATGTGCTGACGAATGGGCAGCTGGTAATCAGAGGATCCCCGGGGGGGGGGGGGGGGGGGGGGGGGGGGGGGGGGGGGGGGGGGGGGTGGAGAGTAGTGGGCGTGGTTATTTTCCAGGGTCTGGACGTTCTCTTGCCACTACTCTCAAAGCTGTATCACAAGACAGAACTTGAAACATTTCCTGGGCTTTCACTGAAATGCATTCGTTAGGCATGGCTGTCTTAAGGAAGCTTCAGAGAACATGTTGAGGTCCAAGCTTCGCAGGGAAACAAGGGAAGAAGAAGGGGGCGACCCAGGGCGAACACTGCTGGGGGGGCTGGTAAGCTGGCCATTGGGAGGCACACGGGTCCTCCATCAAGGATGCTGCGACCGATTGGGCAGGGGGAGGCAGGGTTAGAGACGGAGCTCGTACGTTCCTTTGGGAACACCCAGGGGCCTGTCATGGTAGGTGACCAGGGGCCAGGGAAAGAAATGCTGACATCATGAAAGCTCCATTTTGAACACTTGAAGTAGGCCTTTGTCCCAGTTGAACAGCCAGAAAAGGTGACACGGCCAGCACCTCAGAAGCGCTTCCACATTGGGAGTGTCCCAGGCACAGACAGGGACATGCCACCAGCTCAACGGATACCCCATCCTGCTCCTTGTGCGTGTCCTGTGGGGGACTGAGAGGGTTGCTGAGGCACCTACCAGCATGGCATCCCAGTCTGCTGTCTCCTCTCTGCCCCCAAAGACCAGCTCTGGAGGATAGTGGGATATGGGGATGGGGACGGGGTGAGACGTTATCTCGGGTTGCAGGGGGATGTCAGAGGTCGGGTATTCCGAGAGCAGACACCGAGCCTGAATTGGGAGTGCAAGATATTTATTAGGGCTTAACATCCGTGGAGGGCAAGGAAAGGAAAAAGAATTGGGCAGAAGGAGAAGTCCAGTGCATGCACGCTGAAAAATCCCCCACCATGCGGGAGAGCTCCGGACAGGGACTTGCCCGTCACGGTGGTCCCGTCCACTTCCTGAGACATTAACATCACCCTGAAGCAAGGCTACTCTGAGGCCACCAGTGGCATCTTGTCTGGTGGAACTTCAGTAAGCTGCACGGTGACAGGGATTTTCATCTTTTCCACCCGGTTCCATCCTGAGATGGACATTTCCTGGGCAGCGTCCCTTGGGACCAACAGACGTAGCCGTCCGATGGGAAGGAACCGCAAAGACGGAGACAGAATCCATTGTAGAATACCCCGGTCAGCAGTGAACTTTGAAGCCTTCGTATATGGGATGAATGAAAGTGTTGCTAGCCATAAAGGAGTATTGGCTTTTTATGAGCTTTCAAAATCAGATACGCGAACAAGCACGCGCATCGGAAAGCTTGCTACAATGTATTAATCCACGGTTCGTTCAGTTTCTCATCTACAAGCCAGTGCCTGCTGCTTCCATGTCCCTTTATCCTGCCTTGTGCAGCAGTATTGTCTTTTGAGCTACGTAAGATGAGACTTTGGTAGCATTTGGTGGCAGATAGAGAAAACACAGGTGTTGCTGGAATTTGTGATGGCATTTTCCTTTCTGTTAGTCGTCTGATGAGCCCCTGTTTGTCACGCTGCCGCGAGGATTTGTCTTGCTCAGAATGCCCTATCCTGAGGGAGACAGAAAGCTTGTGAGGGGACTTGTTTGAAAATCTCAGACTCATGGGGCACCTCGGTGGCTTGGTCGGTTGGGCGGCCATCTTCGGCTCAGGTCACGATCTCGCGGTCCGTGAGTTAGAGCCCCGCGTCGGGCTCTGGGCTGATGGCTCAGAGCCTGGAGCCTGTTTC